GTAAAAATATGCTCCCTCAAAAATTTGATGGCGCAACTTGCGCCATGAAACCCCCTTCTATTTTCGAAGTTGAAATATTTTGAATTTCTTAAGTCTTGTATTGAGACCCTGAACTCCCCCGTTTTAAGATAATGTCAGAGTTTTCATTGATTATTATTTTTTAAGCAAGGTAAAATAATTTTATTGAAAATAAATTCGTTTAGCTTTGTACAATGATACTGCTATCATTATCGTTCATAACTAGGGCTAAACCTAGTCGTTTCTTCCTTGTGATACGGAACCGCTATTTTATCTCTATTAATTTATTTAAATGGATGAAGAAAAGAAAAGTCAGAAGTAGAGATGTGTCATTCCCTCACTAATTGAAAGAGCGACAATACTTTGTATGACACGGATGAATCAATAAGTGGAACGAATTATTGAGCCGACGAGCGAAAGGGAGTGATAAGATAATTATATTTTACAAAATATGTTAATTATTTCTTACACTAATGTTTTTATTTAAATTATAAAAAGAAGTAGATTTTTCACCCCTTCTTCTATTTAATACAAATTTTATAACACTATTTAAGGCAATATATTTCGAAAGATATATAATCTCATCTCATAAAATTGACTAATGGTGAATTATGACTAACCAATCAGAAACCAGAAACAAATACCGTTTATTTAATCTAATAGTTAAATTTGCCCTAAATTCTGACGCTTGGGGTAAGAGCCCCTAGTGCATTCTCCCTCCTACTTCCGGTTCCAAACAAGACCTAGTTCAATGGACGTGGTGTTTAGAGATTCTGATCTGTTCGTTAAAAATTACGAGTTTGCTCTTCCTTCCTCTTAACAAGATAATAAAATAAAATGACATCCAATTATTCTGATAATTCATTAAATAAACACCATTGTAATATCTATTTAGAGTGTGAATTTTTAAAAAATGTTTAAGTTTATGTTTTTTATTAAAAAGAGGTCAGTTTAGGCTGGTGTAAATGAAGCGAATAGGTTTGACCCAACTTTGACCATTCAAACAAAGTCTTCCTACCTCTCATTCTCCCAAGGGCTTTTTGTTCCATGGTTGGAGTGGTTTATGGGAGGTATGGCCATTGTGGCACAACACTGTTTTAGAATTCCCCCTGTCACTCCTCTTCTTTTAGTCCACGCTTTTGACTGACCACTGGGCCAAAATAGAATTTCCGTTCGTGAGCGATTGCCTATTCAAGAGTTACCAGAAATGTAAAAAAAAAAAACCTGAAAAAAAGTTTTTCTTACAACAAACATTCTGTTTTAACCGGGATGAAACAACCGTAAAATTGATTTTATTTATTTTTTCACCATCCTCCCTTGTCTTTCTACAAAATGGATTTCTGAAAAAAAAAGTAGTGCATGCTATTACTATATTTTCTTTTTTTAAATTTCATGTAAGTAACATTAGTCCAATATTATCTAGCTGTTACTTGATTCAATGCGGTATTATATAACTTTAGTAATACAAAGATTAACATAATGATACAGAAGTAGAAGAAAAAAGCGTTTGTGATCTTTACCTCGTCGAGCCTATGCTTAATTTATTTAAATGGACAATAAAGAATAATGTTTTACAAATTTAGACGTGGTCCTACCCATTTCCATTTATTGTCCAAAACCAAACCGTAAAAAATAACAAAAAAAACCTGCTACTTATAAAAATGCTTATTACATTGTAGATTGTATATTGCAGTTGCCATTGCCTTCTAGAACTTCCTATTTAGATATTGTTTTTTTCTGAAATTCTCTGATTTTCAACGATATATTATACGTCTTCTTTCTGACTAGTATTTTAGAAGGTTCATTTTCGACCTAAATAAACACTTTTCTTTTTTCTCCATTTTCCAATTATCAAATTCTTTCATATTTTATGTTTAGACATTTTTTATAGTTACTGTCTATAAGGAAGAGTTATTTTTTTAAATAAACCAAATTAAAGATACTGTAGAGGAAGACGTACATGAACATTGGACATTTAACCCATGTAAAGTGACATCCATGTGGATAAGATCTACCTAATATAAAAAACAGCTTAATAATACACTACTGATATACCGAGTTTAATTAAAATCGTTAAAGCCGTTTTTGAGAAAATCGTAAAAATGTGTTATATCGATTATATAAAGTGCCACTTCCGATTTTGACGAAAAAGTGCTTGTAACATTCGAGGCATATACAAAACTTAAATACGTAATATTAGTTTCGCACGACTTTTCGTTTTTGAGCTATGTTGTTCACACATACACACACAGACCGTTTTACGGGGCTTGGTTATTTGGACTCAAGGGACCTCAGAACGTGTATTTCCGTTGAAAACTCAGATTCGAAAATTTTCACGATCGCAATACTTCTCCTTACTATATATTACATATATAGGTAAGTGAAAGTAAAAATCTGCTACTTATAAAATATATTACATTGTAGATTGCTATTAGTATTAATATCTTGTTAGAAGTATTAATGTCTTTCTCGATAAATATGAATTACTAGTTGCATTAATATTTTTATACCTTACGTTACATTTTTAACATTTTTAGTAATGCGTTATAAACTTTTTTTTGGGAAATATAGTTTTATTTATTTAATCATTTAGTGACGGTTTAAGATGCCATTTACTACTACTAAGATTGGAGGCACAGTGTTCCAGTTACATAATTTAAATCAGTTTAGAGAGTTGTTATTCTTCAAAAGTTGGAGTAAGTTCTTACATTCCGGTTCCAAAGTTGGCGGTTGCTGCGGAGTCTATAGAGATTTAGTTTTAAATTTAATATGAAGTTTTAAAATAAATCTTAGTAAAAATAAATAGTTTTATAAAATAAACGTACCAATAGATATTTATTAATATTAACTAATACTTCTGTATATTTATATATAAGTTCATATATTGTCCTAAGGATAGAAGAGTATGCTGTGTGTATAGCAACCCAATATAATTGGGCAGCGATCCTTTATATTTTATATTTTATGAAAATAAAGTGTTTCTCTCTCTATTTAGTTTATTTATGCAAAAATATATCTTTGATTAAGGAACGTAGCATCTAATCTATTTTTTATCAGCTTTTCTTGAACAGTGATAAGCAATTCCAGACTCGAAGAAATATACCTAAAAAAGTCGTATACCTATAAACATAGGGTGTGTTTATTGGTTAAAGAAAAATTAAAATATTGAATGTTGGAAAACTTATTTTTATGTTGTAGAATTTTACTGATTTCAGGAAATTAAGGTGTTTTTGGCACCTTGTTCATCTACCAACTTCTCTCTTAATTTTTCCTTGTAGTTTTGAATTTGGGGTATTCTTTAATCAATTTTTCGACTGTTCGTTGAACATTGCCACTTTCGCGGTTGGTGGTTCAAGTCTCGTTGAAAATTATGCATGTGGAAATTCGGTGCCTAACCGGCAAAGGAAAATTTCTTTCTGGTTAGTCTGACAATTTGAAGACGTGACTTTTTATTGCATTTAGTTTGCCATATTTTCCGAATTTCTATTTGTTTGTTTTTAGAAAGTGTTATATTGGGGTTTAATTAATTACCGGAATTATTTTTCTTATACGGATCGCCTGAACGTTTGCCTCAATTTTTATTCAAAAAATCGATTTTTTTTATCAATCTTGGTCTTGGTCTTGCAACAGTTATACGGTTGTTGGTGTTGGTCTTGCATAGTGCAAGAACAAGACCGATTTTGGGCAACACTATAAAATATAATAGACATCTCGCGGTCAAACATCTACAAGATCTGCAGCGCAACCGAAAAAAATATATATATATATATATATATTATTTAATAAATAGTATTTTTATTTATATATTAATGTTTAGTATATATTATAAAATATAAAAATATTTACATGGATATGAATAATACAATGGCAAAAGATAAAAAAGTTTGATACAAGTCAATACAACAAGTTATAATGTTATCAATCTACAATTCAGTTGGCTATTTATTTCAGAGAATTATTTTTCAGTTTGAATGTAGAAAGTCCAAATTTTATGAAAAACGAATACATTAAATTAAACAAGAAAAATGTCTTAATTTACACTTTAGTTGCATTGGGCCGAAAACAGTAAATCTTTAATTTAAAAAACATAATGAAATATGGAGGCGATGAATTAGATTGGGACCCCTGAGCAGACAGCGACCAGACAAACATAACGAGAAACGCCCTCTTTACTTGTGCCCTCTCACACTGTGGATTACTCACCCCTAGTCAGGATAATGCCGTCGTACGGCCCTCATATTTTCTGTCAGCGTGTCTGCATTATATCATTTTCGGATTGAATTCACTGATTTATGTTGTGTTTTAATGTTGATCAACGAATGATTGCCGGTTATGAATACCAGCTTGATCAACTGGTTTTTTCTATTCTTACAAATTCTCCATTTATTAAAGCTGATGGTGGATTATTTGTTAAATAATTAATTAAATAACAATTCTTATGAAAAATTTCATAGTGAATCACTAGAATCGATTACTGGTAGTCAGAACCACCGAACAAATACCGTATTAATTTATTTATCTTGGTGGAGATAATGTTGTTTATATTATTGAAGATATTGATACTTGAATAGTAGGATAAGTATCATTATAATTCATACTTCATTATTTAATTTTATTTTCATTATATCCCAAAACATTTTTTTATCATAACTAGAGTCAGGATTTGTATGCAGCAAACATAAAAACACTGATTTGCAAAAATATTTAATGAACCGTTTAAAAACTGTGTTAAATTTAAAATATACTGGGCTTTGATCATAACCATCTTATAATTTTAATTTTCATACTTTTTCTATTATTTTTTCTTTTTAATTTCTTTATACTGCCATTTTCGTTACATTGTTATTATCAATTTTCCATATTGACTGTTTTCTTATTTTTGTGTAATTTCATCTGTGACCGCAACCCAACCAACTTGTACTACTAATTTATCTGTCATATTTAAATTAATCAAAGAGTTTATTAACTTTTTTTTATTGCAGGTGAAAAGCCGTTTAAATGCGAGTTCGAAGGCTGCGAAAGGAGATTCGCAAACAGTTCGGACCGAAAGAAACATTCTCACGTCCACACCTCCGACAAACCCTACAATTGCAGGGTGTCCGGCTGTGACAAGTCCTACACACATCCCAGTTCCCTTAGGAAACATATGAAAGTGAGTAAATATTACATGACACTACTTCAAAGTTTTAAATAGGTTATATTAATTATTTATTGCATACGAGTATATTTTTAGCTTTCTAGTAGTTCCCAATAGCTGCAGTTTTTCTCTTGGAGGCTCTCTTTTCATTTTGATTGTCCTGGATGCTCTGTGTTGGTTCAATCTTTCTTGGTTTGGCTAGACAAAGATTTCTTGGATTTTTGTTTCTTCAGAAGAAAATTATCGTTGTAATTTTTATTTTTTTTTTTAGTGGAACTTCTTTAAACAAGTATTTTTTCCGAGGTTGACTCGTTGTGAGTTTTCTGATTAAAATTTAATGTATATCTTAATTTTGTTAAAATGTGATGGTGATTATGAGATGTTAAATTCTGCTTTACTTTCATTACTTACCTTACTTCTTTTTAATAGAATTTATGCTTTTCATAGTCCAAATATTTAATTTTACACAATTTATGCAAATTAATCATATTTAACTGTTTCTTAAATACACATACGGACGGGTCAACAATATAATGGAATTAGATTCTTTTACGTGGTAAAATAATTTTTATTTGTCAATAAAAAATCCTAGCCGCTGAAAGTTCTGTTTTCAATTTTTTAATCATGAGATTATTTATTATGTTGAGAATTCCACCAACGCTTGCTCTCTTTTTTTTATTTTAAAATAAATATGTAATAAAATTCATATTAATTTGTATATCAATTCTATTTCCTGCTTTTACTCAAAAACTAAATAACAGAAATTTCAAAAATGGATCTATAAAAAAAATTCAATTAGTAATTAGGGACATGGGAGAAAGCAAAAATGATGGGTGATTTTTCTTTAAGTATTATAATGTAAATATAATAAATGAAATAAATATGAGTAAATAAGCAAATATGAAATTCAAAATTTTTTAATAAAATTTGTTTTTATGTTATATTTTTAAAATTATCCATGGTCTTATTTAAAATATGTTCATATCGAATTTAATATAGTAAGGAAATTTTACTGCAACTTTGGTTGATGGCGCTACCTGTTGGTGGACCAGAGAGTTATCAGTAGGTGATGGAGTATTAAGTTATTTGTTATATTCTTGTACTAACAGTTTAATCTCCGAATACTTTCTTACATATTTTTTTAAAATCCTTGTAAATTTAATTTTGGTTGAATATTTTAATAATTTTTCATGCACCTATTTATTGTTAGTCTTTCTGTATCTTTTCTTCTTCCATAATATTTGACTTCCATGAAATTGAAATTGAGGCACTAATAATTTTAAATTAACTCAATGAAATCAAAATTTTAATAGTAAAATACATTAGCAAATCATATTATACACAGTAATAACTGACATAATATATTATATGATATACAGCTAAATCTTTGAATTTCGAATAAGAATCTTAGGGAGTCTTAAAACATTGTTGCCTAATGTCTCCGAAATCATAAGTGCACCACTGTTTTACAAAGTCAAAAATCTAACATCAACACCAGTGGTAAACAATATATACATGATCTGCACACATATGTTTCCTAAACAGTCAATGAAATAATATTTTTTTGCATTATGAACATAATGTAATAATAGATGTTATTGTACGAAATAATCAAATGTTTCGATTATATCATTGGCACCATGTTAAAGTAACAAATGTGCAACATTAAACAGGTACACATTCGTTACTTTAACACGGTGCCGACGATATGTACAAAGTATTGTTAAACAAATCTGAGATTTTTAGAACTAAAATATATCAGAAGACTTATTTGTTCCACCAAGACTATTTATTATTTAATGTTGAAAAGATAATGCAATTTTTATCTTTAATGTTCATAATTTAACTTTAAAAAAAAAATATATATATATTAATTTATTTTTCAAAATTGCATACTTATGTAAGAAAGCACTTGAATTTTAGTCTTATCAATACATGCACTCTTTCATATATAACTTTCTTATAATTGAGTGAAACGCTGAATAAATAAATAATATTAAAATCTTATGAAGACTGTTAACAATTGAAAAATATTCCATTAAACTTGTATTTGTCTTATGGAAAAGAATGTTTTTCATTAGAGTCATTAAAGATTTTGAAATTACTATTTACTTCATTCTCAGAAACTTACGGAGTGGTGAGATTTAAGTTATTCAATGACTGATTTCTAATCTGATAATAGTATTATGTATTAAATTATATATATATATATATATATATATATATATATATATATATATATATGTGTATATATATTTTTTTTTTTTAGGACAAAAATGACTTTCATAGATTTATTTGTAATTTATGTAAAAAGTGAGAAGCTTTCAATGGCCAGCCAATTGCTCTGCTTTTTTAATCATTTATTGAACATACAATCATTTTTTTTATTTAATTTTATGAATTATTTTTAATTTGGAAGGACAAACACTGTGGGAGCTGACGGCTATGCAGAGAGACACATCTCTTTGATTTTAGCATGTAAAAGTTTTTCACTTTTATAATAAATAAATTGATGAAAAAATACTGTCCTACTGTAACTTTTAATCCTAAAAAATAAAATGATTTTAAAAAATGAGTAGTAAAAGAAGAAGAGCACTTCCATTGAATAATCACATAAACAAAATTACAATATTCTATTTGGAGCTTAATGTTGTGAATAGAACATTAGGTAGTTCAGTTTGATCCTTAATTTAACTAATTAAAAACCCTTTAAGTAATTTCTTGCTGTTTTGTTGTAATTTTACTTTTAAAGATTTTTATTAGTGTACTAATAGATTTACTAGCCACTAGTAACAGTATGTATGGTTGAGTAATTGATTAATGCAAATGAACTTAATTTAAGTTATAATAAGATTGTTTTAGCCATAGGATAAAGAACTTTATAAGATAAAGAAAAGTCAAAATGTATAAGTAGATTACCTTCAATGCAAAACTGATACCCAAAATTCAAAAACTCCTCCATTACCTCTTGTTATGTCTCCTGTCACTTGATATATTTTGTATATAGTTAAGTCCATCAGCATGTATTATAGGCTGTTAATTGATGTTTTGAAACTTTTTCTGAGACACATATATAGACATGAATTTTATCAATTGACTTCGCTCACTTTCTTTGAAATTAATATTTGTACAATTTTCAATCAAGTCTTGAAAAACATTTGAAAATATCTTTCAATCAAACAAAAATACTATTTCTTAGAAAAATATATTAATACTAATTATTCTTCATTTTATTTTACATTGAGTCTTTTATTTATTTATTTTTTCACCCTTCCTAGCCATTTCTGGAATTTGTGTACATTGTGTCATTAGGCATTTGGGTTTGTGTGCATTGTGTCTTCCTCAGATATCAAATACTTTGCTTCCTTGTGCGCTTTTTATGGTTTATATAAAAGAAAAAATATATACCCATAAAAATGAAAATATTACATTAAATAGTTTTTTTTTCCCAAAAGGTTATATCATGAAAATAGTAAGAATGGAGAAGTAGAAAAAATGATCTCAATGCTCACTCAGGTTGGAAACATGCATAATTAAGAAAATTAAAAAATTGAAACAATTGAGGAATCAGATGGTAGCTTGGCTTTATAAGTATTTTTTAAAAAAGATTGATGTGCGTACTGGCGGAATATATATATCTATAGACCACGAAGATCTTTGACCGGGACTGTTGTCTCCTAGACCACATCCTGATTCCCGATTTAAAGTACGGGGTTGGGTCATCAATTCTACGCCCGTTCGGTGTGAGTTGCCTCCAGTAGTTGACGGGCCTTACATACCCTGGGGATCTCAGGCAGTGTGGCTTTCCTTGGTGGACGGTCACCCATCCACGCTCGGCGTTGCTTAACTTTGATTCAATATTGCGAGCACCTTAGCCCGCAAGGTGTTACAATAAAAGCTGACGTTAAAATAATAACATCTTTTATTTCGGCAAAATAGACCTTATGATTATCTGTATCTACTATGGAATTGTTTTCCATTCCAGAAATATAATTCTTGAAATAAAATATGACGTTTTAGCTCAATTGGCAATCTTTTGGTTTATAAATTTTAAGAACAAATTGTAAAATTTAAGAGGATTTTTATAATGATCAAAACTATAAAGTAGCTCTATGGTATTACGCTAAATTTTTGGATTGCTCCCTTTTCATCCCAAATAACAGGGCTCCAAGAACCAAAAATTAAAGCATTTTCGCGGCAATAGTGGCGTAACTAATTGTAAGATAGACTGCCCCAAATGATTCTTCCATAATTCCGGAAAGCCTTTTTGTGGTGATCTTTCAGACAAAATAATCAATTATGTATTTATCCTCTGGGTACTTATGTGCCGCACAAAATTCTTTCTTGTCTAACTATGTCGAATGTCTAACAACTTCGTAGACATATTTAACCGAGCTTAGTCACGCTTATCATAAATAATTCCTTCCGCTATACCCCTTTATAAATGACATGTCTACTACTAATATCCCAGGTAACGTCTGTAGGAGACTGAAGAGGAGCTGGATGAGAGACCTCCTCGCTTAATGTGGATATCAAGCCGAGTGAGGTGCCACTGGGCACTGATCCTCGTAATGCCTTTCATGGCATTATTTTTTCCAATCGACCTCACATTCATTGGTTGTCATTACCATTATGACAGGTGTGAATAAAAAGATTAAACCAAAAAAAAAAAAATATATATATATTCGCTTGTTTACACTATGTATTTTCAGACCAATAAGAGATCCTGATGTTATGTAACTTTCACCTGGGAAGTCCATTTCCTCCTTACAAGGGTGATATGCTAAAGGGCGTATGTTCTTCCCCTCCAATAAAATTAATTATTTTTCTTCTGTTCCTTGATTTGACAGTTCTGTTTAAATGAAATCTCGCAACTTGCGCCATGCAACCCCATTCTGCGCACTCTTGAGTTTCAGAGAGTATTTTTTGTTTAAGAATGTCTAATTATGACAATTATCCGGATAGGAGATTTGGTGATGTCTATTGTTGTTGTTTTCTGAACTTGCTTGTATATTGTTTAAAGAAGGATTTTACAGTATTGTGCGATATCCTAAATCCATAAACTTTATTATATTGCTAACATTTTGATTATTATGTAATATTAAGGTTAAATAATGTATTTTGATGTGTCATGATGGCTGTTTCAGGTGCACGGAGGCAGCGGTAAGAGCCCACCCCACGGCTACGAGTCGGAGGACTCGAACAGCAGCTCGGCGGGCTCGATCTCGGTGGCGGAGACGGCACTGCCGCCGCCCGCCCCCACCGAGTGGTACCCAGAGTTCCCGCCTCCGCCGCACATCCACCACCCCTTCATACCGCACCACGGCGCCACCGCCGCCTACTAGTCAGTCCTCACCATCGTCTTAGGCATTAGTGGCTCACCAGCTTTATGGGTTCCAGCTGTGCATCATATTAAGGACTAAACATTATATATATAAAGATTTTTGACATGTGTTCAAGTGATTGTACCTTGTGGCTACCAATCATGCAATGGACGTCACTAGACTATGATTAGGCACTTGGAGCTTCAACTCCTTGAAATTCTGTACTTAACTGAAATTATTAATTTTTATTATTTAACTTCTAAAAATTATTTATTTGATTTATTGACGTAGTTTATGCATCAATATTACAGCCTCAGTGAAAAATAGGATGCCCAAAATTCTAACTTTTGAGGAAGGAATAATGTTTGGCATTACACCATTTTGTAATTTTATTTAGTGAAATATATTGTTCGTAAGTTATTTACACAATATACAATTTTTTTCAACCTTGTGGTAGATCCTATAGATATTTGTCATATGAAGTCGAGTTCACCAATTATTCTCTGAGATACAAAATATACATGACTTTTGTTCCATTATTGAACGATTGCAACCAAACATATAATTAAAACATTCAAAATTTCATTTACAAAAGAAGATCGTATTATTTATTTGTTTTGTTTTATGAATGGTTATATGCTGTTAGCACTAGTTGATCCAGTATTAAATTTTTTTTTGGGGGGGGGAGGGGAGGGCTTCAGCCTGAAAGTTTTTTTTTCATAAAAATAACGATAATTACTTTGGAAAAAAAGAAAGAAACTAACTACCTATATGGAATGGTGTTTAAGTGATTCCTAAAGTTCTTTTAAATGTAATTACACGAACAATAATACTTTATGAGATAATTTTTTAATATTTTTTCCATAAAACATGGTTATATTTTATCATTTTGGGGAGGGGTCGAGGGGAGGGGCTTCAGCCTGACCGCTTTAATAATTTTCATGACAGACTGACTCTAAATTCCAATCCACTTACTCAAGCTCTATCTACTGCCACAAATCCATATAATCCATCCAGAAGACAGCTGAGGCGCTGGCCTAGAGTCTCATTGCATTGAGCTACTTGCTGCATTATCTTTTTTTTTTTTTTCTCTTTTTTTTTTTGTGTTATTCTGTTAATATGTATGTGTTATTTTACTACTGTTATTTTTTTTTTTTCTTTTGATATTACTATTATTTTTTTTTCTTATGCTATCATTTCTTGTCCTTGATTTCATATTTGCTGAATACCGATGTAGATGGCAAATTGATTGTGAGCCAGGAATATGTATAGCTAATAGTTTTATACAATATATATTCAATTAAAAAAAAAGAAATTCTGAAACTTTTGGCTTAGTTCAATGTTATTCTTAGTTTATTTTTTAATTCCTATTTCATAACATAACGTGCAGATTGAAAATTTCAGATAATAATTTGGCTTAGGCAATCTTATGTTCAATAATGGGAAGGATGTTATTTTCAAATAGTTAATAACTCCCCTTTTGTATTTTATACATATACAGCCATTTTTTAAAAACGTTTTTAATCTTTTTAATTTATTTACTATATTCATTTTTTCCTATTTCCACTTCATACCTTGCCCATATGTCTAATTTTATTATACAAACACTTATAATTAGTTGATAGTGTATTACTTGTGTATAATTTTAGGTGATAAATTGGGGAATAATGTGTCCCCTCGAAACATCCGAATAAAAATGAAAAAATACTATTAAAAGTTCTTGTTTTATTAACATAGACTTATAGGCAAGGTGAAAGGAGTTAAGAGGAATTGATGAAGAAAGGTCAGGAGTATGAACTAATAAATATATTTTAATTTCGAAACAAAAAATTAAAATTGAGGATCTAATGGCTGTTTTTAAAAACAATTCTTGTTTATTTTAGTATTATTTTTAAAAAAAGTATATCTTACATAAAATATCAATACAAATCTATGACTGAGAAAAATGATCTGTAAAATAAATGTGGACATTTAGGAATTCTTGGACTTTCATGAAAGAATGTTTTATAAGTTTGTCATGTGTTTTTTTTTTTGTTATTGTATAAATTAAACTAAATCTATGTTACCTATTAAAGGAAACTCATTCAGAGAATGATGTGCTCACTTTAAGTATTTATATTACATAATCTTCATGTTAACAGCACTTTTTATGTACTGCTATATGTAAAATATGAACTTAAAATTAATTTTTGCATGACTTGATTTATATGTCTCGTTTGTACTATATGAATCACCTTTCTGTACTTTAGCAAGCGCTTAGTTTTTAAATATATTGATATATGTACACAATTGTAAGATATGTATAAATATGATTATCTTTTTTATTATTTTACACTGATTAATTATTTGTAGCTATCGGAAGAGCAAAATATGTGAATATAAGAGAGTTTTGTAAATTATGTATTTAATAAGATGTAGATTTTAGGTTTTTGTCAGATGAATGTTATTATTTAATTGGCTTTTACTCTCATCTGTGATATAGCCTTAATTCCAAAAATTGGCATAACAAATTAAATTTGTCTAAATATCTACATTTATTACTTGTTTGTGGTAATGTAGATATGAAAATTGACATTAAAATAATAATTCTGCCTTTTTATACAATAAGAAATGTTTGTTTCATTTTAAGCATATATATAAAAGAAAAAATAATGCAAATACACTCTTGAAATCTTTTATCTTTGACATTCACTTCTGTGCCTTCAGAGTTCATTGTATGTGATGTGCTAACGTCACTCTGATTTACAATCTAAACTAACTGTATTAAATAAATAAATTAAAAGCTACCTGCAGATATTTATTTTCTTTAATGTGACCTATTTTTAGAATTTTTAGGTTGAATTCATTTTATTTTTGGTAATATCTAGAAAAATACTTTCTCTGTCTAAAGCAAAAAATAAATTATTTAAAAGTCTTGGTTAACTGAGTAAGTCTCTATTATGTTTTATTAAACTACTATATATCAATATTACATAAATGTTTTATAATAAATTATTTTAATTTAATTTAAATAAACATTTAAGATTTTTAAAAGTCACTAAATAATTAATTTGTGCTGTAATACTGTTATCACCTTTATCTTTAAATAATTGAAAAAGTTCCCTCCTATTATGAATAGATATTTGTTGAAAATGGACAATGTTCACTTTGCTGCATATTTTATAGCTTATTTTTGGGACCATTTTACAGCATTGTTCCAATCCAGTAAAACTATTGTTCCACAGATTTAAATTCAATAATTTATCATCTTATGATAATATTAAATATATATTCCCGTACATTAAATATTTTATCATTTTACCTTAGGGCTGGATATTGCGGACATGAATCTTCAGGGGAGCTCACTATTTATTAGAAATTAAAAAAAAAAACAAATTTACTAAAAAAAAAATAATTTTAGTCTATCAGTAAAGTAACCATATTCGAGAAAATTGAAGAAAATAAAATTCAAATATTATATAAAATATAATAGTATAAGAAATAAATTTAATTTTTTTAGAAGTGGGGAGAGCTGACGTCATAGCCCGAGGGCTTGGAATGGCTAAGGTGGACACTGCCGTTTCACTACCCCACTTGATTATGGTATATGAATAATCATAGCAATCCACACTCTTCATTATTTCTCCATTGCTGAAAATATCCATGGTTTCTGTATTTTTATTGCTTTGCATGGCTTTATTGCTTGTTTTATAAGGCAATTGAACTTCTGCTGTGAACAATTATAATATTTTAATTTAATAAAAGACTTAAGACTTAATTAATAAAAAAGACTTAAGCATTTTTTTTTTTTTTGCTCCTTCTCTCATACAGTAATCTTGTATGAGGGCCGTTTATTCAGATTTTTATTTATTTATTTTCTATATGCTGCATGGCACATGATAATATATAAAGATGTAATTTTTATAGAAGTTAGAAATTATGTTGTGGTGGTTATAAAATAAATTGGTTAGAGATTAATTAATGTTAAAGAGTATCAATCAAAAGGTAAAAAAACAGAGAAATTACAAAATATTGAAAAGATGAAAGTTCCCTAATGAAATTTATAAAAACTTTTGAGTGACCAGTTGTAGAAGAATGTTGAAGTTCATCATTAATTATTCTTTGAATTCATTTATTTGCAAATATTTGTTCTCTTTTCTTATTATTTATACACCGTTGTACTGAATGATTCGTTATATATCTATTTCATTTTCCAATTAAAAAGCTTAGGTTGCCATATGAGTCATGTCTTTCATCAAAAACTAACTCTTGTTAAATGGTATTGTTTATTGTCAAAAATACGCAAGTCGTATTGGATATGATGATATGAATACATTCTTATTAATCGTATCTACAGAAGTATTGGTCATACTTCTGATTGTATACATAAATATGTTAAGTGGTACCTGATAAAATATAGCTTTGGAAAGTTTTTATTATGATAAAACATTTTTTCTTAAAAATCTGGTATTATAGATTGATTTGATAAAATTCAAAGCAACAAACTAGTTTTATATGCAAATCAACTTTACTCAAAATCTATGATCTATGATCTTGCAGATTTTATTATAAAAAAATTAATGTAATGTAAAGTCGTTGCCTCCTTTATTTGTTAACCTATTTTTCCTGTAAAATTTTATAAACTGTCCAAATTCCTGTGAAGATAGGCCTATTATCCTTGCAAACAGGAGAATTAACAACCTTTACATATTAATCAGGGAACTTAAGGTTTATTCAGTGAATCATTTACATATATAATTGCATGCTGAAGAACCAATTTACATTTATCACAACTTGGACATTTTAAGAATTTAATGTTTAAATATTCAACTTGTTTCTTAAAATATTCAATCTATATTATACAATTGTACTGTTGCAAGTTTATTGCAATAAAGATTGCAAAAATACTGCCTTCTATAACAGACATAAGCAATTTTACAGAATATTCATTAATTTAATGGATATTATTAAGATAACAAAACAGAGAGAGTTGGGAGGAACTTATAATAAATATCAAATGTTAAGAGTTTTTTCTTTCTGTCTACAAAATTGAGTAAGTGAAGGTCAGGATTAATATAGGTGGTGATGAAGAATTCCCATTGAGTCAAAATAATAGATCCCGCCATGCTTTGAAGCAGTTTCTTCCCGAGAAACATAAGAACAACAAGCTTCTTCAAAATTTGTTCATAAGAGAGATGGTTACCTTAATTCCAAACCAAAACTCTTTAACTAAAACTTTTCTATCGCTTATTCCTTTTTATACTTTTCTTTGAATATGCTATGGATTTTATATAGATTTTTTTTTTCTATGCCTTTACTTTAACATCCTTTTCCTGATCCTTTATTTTAAACCTTATTAGGGGATCTGCTATTAGTGCCTCCTTTTCTGTTGCAGTTGGAATGCTAAAATATACATGATCCTTGTTGAGTTTTCAGTCCTTGACAATTAACTTTTAGGAAATCCGGTGAAGAGCTACTTGCTTCTCTATATTATTTTTGCTGAAGGTGGCAAGGAGCATTTTGTTATTAAGGCATTTGCTAAATTCATGATTTTCATATATTCATGAGATTTCTGATTCTCTAAATATGCTTCGAACTATACATTTAAAGTCGAAGCCTCTTAAAAGATTTCTTTTGAATCAACATGATATTTTTTTTAAGATAAATGTCTTCTATATCTTTAAAGTTTTATTTTATTTTTTCGGTAGCACTTTTCGCATGATTAATCTGGTGATTGGCCTTCATTGGGGCCGAGGGAATTTACTAATGAGGCATAAAGGCCCACTTTGAACCATAAAGGCATCATCTTCAGGAAGGTATTCAATCAAGGCTGACCGGGCGCTGTGAAGAACACTATCCTACAGTGGCTTAATAATATTATTAATATAATATAATATTTTATATTACATATTATTATATGTATATATTATATATATATATATATATATATATATATATATATATATATATATATATATATATATTATATATATATATTATATAATATTATATTATTAAGCCACTGTACACTATCCTGCTCGAGGTACTTCTGCTATCAACTCAACGGAACATTTTTCATATATGTAACGATAATTAATTTGAAAAAAAAAGAAAGAAACTAACTACCTATATGACATGGATTTAAGTAATTCTCGAAGTCCTATTAAATGTAATTACATGAACAATAATACTTTAAGAGATAGTTTTTAATTTTTTTTCTATAAAACATGGTTATATTTTACCATTTTGGGGGAGGAGGGAGGGGTTGAGGAGGAGACCAGCCGGAAAGCCTCCCCCCGTAGATCCGCTTATGGTGGCAGCTGTTGCACCAGTATTGGCATGAAGTCGAAGATGGTAGAAGTGGGCAGGTTCCGTGTCTGGGTATCATCAGTGGAAGATAGGGCCTGCAGGAATATCGCTTGCACAATTTTGTTGTTTATATATGATGATAATTTAGTTTTATTTGCTTCTACGTTGCTAGTAGGGGAGAGGAAGAGAGGGGAGAGAGTTGGACAGCTACTCATCTGGCTACGTCCTTAAAAGAGATCATTATTAAACTGATAAATTACTGAGACATCATATAAATATCAACCATTTTTCCTCATAACATTGCGTTTGTTGCGTAATAAGGTTATTGTTCCTCTTTGCATGAATGGTATATTGCTCCTGAATCAGTTGTATAAGCCTCTTTTCTATAATCACAAACTTATTTTTACGTGAATTAGATGAGTTTGAATGCAAGGAAAAGTGGATTTTGTGAAAGCAATATTGCGTTTTAATAAGAGTCCCGGAAAATAGTTTGATTCTAATAATAAAAAATAAATACTTTTGGTTTTCCTTGAGATTAGATAAATGTAATTCCCACAAGTTTAAAATTAATTTCTTAATTGTTATTTTAAGAGCCATGTATTTTATTGCGAAACATTGAATAAATTATCAACAGATAATTAGTCCCTGTGCCAAGATCATAAATGAACAATATCTAAGAGTGCACCGTAGTCGATGCAGTAAAATAATTTCATAAGGAATCATGAGAATAAGACAAAAGCGTATCGATGTTTTGAAAAAAAAAAGAAAAGAATAATGCAAGATTGGGATCATATATCTGTCACATTCTCTTGCAAATCTTAAGCCCCTATCCAATTTCAAACTAACGTTTTGTTGTTTGTTATCATCATGCCATAATGATAAACGTTTTACTAGCATAAAATCAAAAACAAAAGCTTTTTGCTCGGGAAGAAACACGGTAAATCAGTCTTAAAATAACGGAGTATCAAATGCAAATAACAAAGAGAATAAAAGAAAGTGAATTCTCAAAAGACATCTTGGCAGAGGTATTAACAAAAATTAAAACACGGTATTTTTTATGCGAGACAGTCTTCAAATAATCTACTGCGTTATTAATTCAATCGCTATCAATGAATATAACTTGTCAACAATATCGTGTAATTCACACAAGAATGATTCTTATATAAAATATTTTGTTTGTAAAATACTCTGGTCTCCCCTCAAAAACGTAGTACTTTATGTTATGTCATCATAATTTATTTATAAATATAGTACTTTTGATTCCTGTTAGATTTCTGAACTTTGTCTCTTTATATATCTTATACAAATTACCACCATCATCCCAGGGTAACCATCATATCTTAAGTCAAAACGGTTCGTAAAAAGCTCCAGGTTCATTCCATGTAATAACTATAATAACATACACCATTATGATACAATCCTTTGACATTAATAATAAATGTCACAATTGAATGGCCAAGAGACCTACTATACCAATAAAAAACCATATCAAGCAAATACACAAAGACAATACAACACAAGAAATTTGCTTGATGCGCAGCCGCGCAGGTGCAAATTGCATAAAAAATAAATAAAAAAAATAAATAAATGTAATTAGTTCATTAATAAACATTTGAATTGTATTTCATATTTTATTATTTTAAGTTTCTTTTTCCAATTAACTACTACCTCATCCACACGAGATCCCAAATTTCCCTACGCTCAGGTCTTGATTCCTTTGAGAACAATATAAAGGCAAATGGAGACATACTTGAAAAAGTAAATGAAACCTACTGCTGGTTCGTAAGAAGTGACTGATGATGCTCGAACTACCTAACAGGTGGGTATCAAAGTTTGGTAAAATTAAACAATAGGTCCATTCCTCTCAAAGAGGCATGACAACAAAAATTTAAATTCAACGCAGACATCATTTATTTGCTCTGCAGTGTGTTTGAATTGCATGTAATGTTGGAATATTGTACTAATTTGGCAATAGATGTTGAAAAGCAAATTCAAATACTTACATAAAGATTTTGTATGCACAGTTGGAATAACAGTCAATTTAAAGAAATATCAACAATGCCAGCGCCGTAAAGTTGAATATGAAGCAATATAATGAAATATAGAAAGGTTGCTAATTTCAATAGCTTAGGATTAACTGTCATTTCTTCTTTTTTCGCTTCTCACTTTTATGCCTATCAGCGTAGTGGAGTGCAGAGCCACGAATTTCACCCCTCTCTGTCCCTTGCTTGATTCCTGGCTTGACGGAGATCATACATAGCTTCTTCTTCTGCAAAGTCTATCGATGATTCCAGACATGACATTCTTGGGCATCCTCGATGTCTTCTTCCATCATACTGCAACATAGTCGATCGTTTTCAATGGGTCTCGAACCATTTCCATTGGCTCTTTTGCAAAACCTCCTTGTATGAGGCGACCTAAGGTTCTTGTCGTGTCCTCTGACCTTGGAAACAAGGTGTATCCCAGTCTTTCCGTCTGTTCTACTCAGAAATTTCATTTCAACAGCAGTGACTCTGCTCCACTAGCGGATCCAGGATTTAATTTTGTGGGTGGAGGGCTTCAGCCCGAAAGCTTTTTTTTTTTTCATAAAAATAACGATAATTACTTGGAAAAAAAAGAAAGAAACTAAATACCTATATGAAATGGTGTTTAAGTGATTCCTAAAATCCTTTTAAATGTTAAATTACACGAACAATAATACTTTAAGAGATAATTTTTTAATATTTCTTTGCATAAAACATGGTAATATTTTACCATTTTGGGGTCTCCCGTAGACTCAACAGTGACTCTGTTCTCATGCATGTCTGTCAATAGCCAGCTTTCAGCTCTATACAAAAGTATTGGCAAGTACACAGGTTTAAATGCATGGAGCTTGATGTCCTCAGCTATCTCTCTCTTTCCTACAACAGTGTTGCAAATCTGGTAGTAGCCTCCATTTGCCTTGCTTATTCTGTAAGATAAACATGTAAATTAGAATGGAGATAATCTATTTCACTTTTGAACTCATTATAGATATATTTAATTTCAGTTGCTGTTTAATGCTGAACATTATCCTACCGCAGTTATCTCCTTAATTGAAGTAAACAAAATCATATAATTTATGTTATATTTTATTTATTATATATATATATATAATGCGGTAGTAAAGGTCATTTTTCCGGCTCCCAGGATCGATGGATTTTGATGACTGAAGTGTCAACTGAAAGAGAATTTGACGCAGAAGTGACGAATTCCAATTTCACCAATCTCAAGATCTTATCTCAACTTGAAAACAAAAGTAGAATGTTTCAATACTCCGATGTTGGTATGTTGATGGATCGAGATGGGACAAATTGTGTTTTAAACATTTCATAATGACCATCAAAACTCGGCTACGTTCCTTTAGAATTACCTTGCGCCATCGCATTTCAGAGTGACGGCCATTTTTCAGTATTTGCAAATATTATAATTTTTGTTAGGAAACGATAGATATCTGACTCCGCTTTCATTTGATTCAGTGAAACAAAAAGTTACGAAAACCTACCTAACTACATTTTACTTGTTTTAAAATTAAGATGCACACAGATGATTATCAGATGAACTATGTCATATTGATTTTGGTTCAAAACCAAATGAAATAACCAGGAACGAAAAATAAGAAATCTCACAATGTACTGATAAAGAGTTAATTAAAAAAAAAAAGAAGTAAAAACAGGTAGTTTCTTACAACATAATAATAATAATAATAATAAAATAATTCGAAACTGATGGCTCTACATTAAGATCAGATAAGTGGAACATATTGATGTATTTCGATGCAGTCTCCCATTTCCTCATTCGCGTGTATGGTTGAAAAAGTTTTAACTAATAAGTTTCTGCAAATTGAATTTACACTCACTCAGAAATAACTCACAGTAAAGGGACAAAAAAAAAAATAATAATTTAGTGCAGGCCCTGTGGTTTATAGGAACAGGCATTATGAGTATATATATATACTTTTTTTTTTTAACGATCGGATTCATATAATATCTCTAGAGCTTTACGAAAATGATTGTTATGATTTGTTAAAATATCGCAGAGACTATATCGATAGTCGATAATATTGAAGTAGATGCCACGGATTGTAAAATATTGATTATCGGAAGAAAAACTTCGATATTATCAACTATGTCTATTACATGAATTACTAAGACAAGTTATTGCCGACATGCGACAATAAGAATCCAATTACAGCTGTGATCAATTTGATGACGTTGAACATGATCAGCCTATTACCTAATACAACATAGATGTTTGAGCATTACGTCAATTCATACAATATTATATGCTTGCCTTTTAAAAATGTCTCATAAATGTTATTCATAGTGGGTATATTTAGAAATTTATTTTACTATTAATAGACTCTTAAAATCTAATTTTCTAATACCTGTCATATAGATTACATTTTAATTTATGTTTTAATAGATATAATCTCATGTTAAATTGTGAAAAATAATAATAATAATTTTAATTATTCTTTTTCTTTCTTCTTATTAATCGTTTAATGTTCGACATTTAACGCATGTATCTTAAAATTATTTATAAAACAACAAATTACGTTGATTTTGATTGTTAATTAAACGTATATAC